CGCCAGGCGGACCTCTCTGGGGAGCGCATTCCATAGATTGGGCGCCACCGCAGAGAAAGCCCTCCTCCGAGTACCTACCCTCCTAATTTCTTTCACGGAGGGTTCCCAGAGAAGGGCCTCTCCCGCAGATCTCAAGGATGTGATCCTTTCCTCTATAACCCTTGTAAATGAAGCAGTATATGGTCCAATATTAGATAACTTGTACTATAAAGGTAAAGTAAAGGTTTCCCCTTGATGTGAAGTCCAGTCGTGCCTGACTCTAGAGGGCGGCGCTCATCTCCATTTCCTAGCCAAGGGAGCCAGCGTTTGTCCACAGACAGTCTCCGTGGTCATGTGGCCGCATGACTAAACACTGAAGTGCACAGAACGCTGTTACCTGCCCGCCGAAGGGGTGCCTTTCTATCTACTTGCATTCGCATGCTTTCGAATGGCAAGGTTGGCAGGATGTATAAAATTAGGCATGGTATTAAGAAAATGCACAGACAGAATTTTGTCCCTTTCTTACATAACTTGTAGGTGGGATCATCCACTGAAATTAATTGGTGGAACGCAGTGAATATTCACACAGCTCGTAGTTAAACCAGGACTCAACAAGATGTAGTGATAGCTGCCAACCTGGATAACTTTAAAAAGGATGCAAAGTTATTCTTGGAGGTAAACTGATGAACGGTTAGTAGTCATGATGGCTACTATATTATTCCCAGTATCAGGATCAGCAGGATGCCTCTGACTATGAGCTGATTGAGAATATAAGCAGGAAAGTGCTACTGCACTCATATCAGATATATGCTTGACCACTGTGGAAACTGGAGGCTGCACAAACAGGATAGGCCTTTAGTTTGATCCTCCATGTCTCTTATGTTCTCAAGACTAATGGAATTTCTTGGTAAGTCTATCTCTGACAGACATTTATTCAAGAGACTGGCATACTCTGGAGAAAAAAAGGATGCCATTTAACTTTTCCATTTATTTCAATGGAAGATTTAACAACATCCTTAATGTTTCCTTTGTTGTCTGAGGCTTGTTTACATGAGTAGGTACATCTGTGTTTTTCAAGTGTGATTCTTAATATAAAACATATTTTTAAAAGCTCATAGAACGTTTTACAAACTCACCAATCCATCAAAATATCTGACATTGAGCTGTCTTAATTTTTACAAATGATGGCTATGTCTAGGAATTGGAAAGATTCTTTTCTAACTTTTCCACAGAGTTTCTTGCAGTAGAGAAGCCTTTTTCCTTGTAATGCTTCACCTTTGAATTTTCCCCTGGGACAATGGAAAGACATCAGCAATGGCTCTCAGGTTCGCTTGTTTCCTCCCCATACTTTCCCTACACCAATCCAACACTAGGGATGATATAAGAAATTGATCAAGAAATTGCTTTGAGGTCACTGAGTTGGAGAAGTATCTGCTGAATAATTTTGTTGACATTTTCCAAAAAGGAAAGCCAGAGCCGAATATACTTCCTTTTAAGAATATAAAAAATTATTATTTTCCTATTACAGTGTCAATAAAAAACACTACCAGCACGAAGATCTATCACCTTTTTGCTTAATTATAACCATACAAAATTTAACTTGTTTTTAATCAATAGCATCCATTCATGTTGAAAATTCAGGGTACAAAAATGAATTTGAAAAAATTTGACTGACTGCTTTTCAGAAAAAAAATTGTTGTAAATAGTTTAGCAGTATTTTTCTTTCACTTCACAGTACTGCCAGTTTAACTGCAAACCTTTGATGTGATGAAGTTCATCCAAATCAAGCACAGAAAATGCATATGAAACTCCATCTCGCATATTCTTTAAGAAATATAGTCAAAGTAATGACAAGGTCACCCTTCTAGGGTTGTCAACATACAACACATGGAGAGAATACTCAATTTATTTTCAGAAATAAAAAGTCCTTAGAAGCACAAGGACATCAAATTCTTACCTTTCCCTTTCCATTTATCTTCCTGTTCAGTATTATACAGGAAACATAAGTTCTCCGTGACAATAGCTAATAACCTCTACTGTCATACCAATTTTCATCATGGAGGAGCTTTTGGGCATTAAATCATTGTGGACATGGAAAATATTATTCGCTTCCCAGCCCTCAGAGTCACAAACAATTTGAACCTACGTGTTAACCATACAGAGATAAACAGCCTCTCTTTCTGAATAGCAGTTCCTCCTTCAATTTGTAGATAACTATGATTTCAAAATGGTGTTAAACAAAAATCGGAATATTATATTACCTTGGCCAGATGAGTGTTGATCCACTTGGTGAAAGTCCTCTTTTGCACTGACTCCTGTTCATCTTTTAAAAAGAAAAGAAAGAAAAGCAACCATTATGTCACACTGCTGTTCCAGTCATACTTCTCTAACGCTATGAGCAGATGCATTCTGGTCAGGTCTGTAGCACCAAGGTGAATAATAGATGCACTGTTACACAAAGGGGCTCATTTCTCTGCCATGATGAAGAAAACAATACACTGTAAGGTTTACAGAAGAGAAGGTAACATTTCAGCAACAGTCTGACTTGAAGCTATGTAAAAAGATTCAAAACATGGTCTAATGTTTTGCTTTTTCTCTGGTTTTGGATGCCCACCACCTTGCAGGTGAAAATAGAAGATGTTAATATGAAAAGGGATGCTTGCTAAATTGATTTTAATAATGTATTTGACACACAGGGGTATGGAATTATACATGTGTGGGGAGTCACTTCCGCCCAAACTTCCACACACCTTGCGATGTGCCAAGTCCCAGGCATTAGGAGGCAGTGGCACACTTCCTTGCTGTCAGGGGCTTGGCACACCCTCTGGCACTGGCCATAGCCTCTAATCCCAGTGCCTTGTCTGTGGACCCAGGTTAACTTTCCCACGTGGATGAGGAAGCAGTGCCTTGCTGGGGGCTTGCTTCACTGAGCGCAGGCTTCGTCCAGCAAAACCACCTTGCTTGAAGGACCAGATGGAAAAGGGCTACTCCGCCCAGTTCATCAACTGGGGTAGCCTCAGCTGTACTGCATTCCTCTGTTGAGGAGGATTTGGGACATGTTAAGGAAATCCCCACTGTAGTTTCTGAATGAAAATAACCGTGGCGATTCTCCTTAATCCAGCACCCACCCAACTGGAGTGCATGCAGTATGGAAAGCAATATCCCCATTGCTATCTCTGACCAATTACCTGAGAGAACAATGGGGATTCCTCTCCCCACACTTGCTCTGAAGGTGCAGGATTTGAAAAGTTACTTGGCTGAAGACCTATGGGGCATGTGGAACAGCCTGGTGGTCCAAACTGGCACAAGGGCCAGACGCTCCCCATCCGTACTACACAGGTGGTGCAAAATATAAGGGGAAAGATCGATGTGGTCACAGTAGTCCATGCTGTAGTCATCTTTTGGATAGATTACTGAAGCACTCTCTATGTGGTGCTGCCCTTGAAGAGTGGAAGCCTCAACTAGTGCAAAATGTAGCGGCAAGAATGTGTTGTACAGATCTTATTACAGTGTCTGGTGTGTGTTGTAAAGATCTTAGTATACCGGTCTTGCACTGGATTCCGGTTTGTTTCTGAGCCCCATTCAGAGTGCTGTATTGCATCTATAAAGATCCAAACTGTTTTGGGATAGGACAACTTGAACAACTTCATCCTCCCTTATGAACCTACCCTTAATTTAGAGTCATGCACTCAAGGCTTGTTAGATGTCACACCATCAAAAGCCAGGGTCTTTTTTGTAAAGGCATCGCAACCACCAAACTGCTTCATGGGGGAAGCTATGGTCAGCCCCTTCATTGTCATGAAGGCTGTGAAAACTATAGAATACAGGTTTGAAAACCTTATTTTTCCATTGAGTCTTTAATGGATGTTGAAATCACCCTCTGCTTTAAATCTCTCCTTTGGTTTTTAGTAGCTGTTTTTTTGTTTTGTTTTGTTATTCAGTTGTCTTTATCTAGCTTGTACATCACCACAAGTGCTTTTGACCAAAGAGGTTCTAGATAAATATACTGAACCAATAAAATTAATTAATTAATCAATCAATAAAATAAGTAAAAGTACCTAACATAATGTACTGGTTTTAAATTCTGGATTTAAAACTTGCTTTATTTTTACTGTCTTAAAATGAACACAAGCTGGGAATAGGAATAACAAAAAGATGCTTGCTTTGGTGACCTATGTCAAATATTTTGATAAGCATTTAAAAGTACAGCTTTCAATTATGGATGATAGATTTACATGGATTTATGGATCCCACCTACTAGTTTTTAGCTTTCATACTTGATCATATAAAAGCAACTGTATTCATGTTATTTCATGGGCAAGCTACTAGGGAACAATCCTGTATGTCTAGGCAGAAAAGGCCCTATAATTCCCAGCATGCTCCAGCCCTTTTTTCCACTCTAAACATGCACGGTATTGAAATATCAGGTATTTATGAGTTAAGGTCAGGGAGAAATAGTGATTTGACCAAAACTTTGTGAAACTGACCCACTAAGGAAGTGTGGTTTTGTAAAATGCCCTGCCCACACCTTTGTTTGTCTAAGCAACTGCAATTCTTCAGGGCATTTACTTGGATGACAGTTCCATTCAGTTCAACAGATAAGCCCTCCCTTCATCCCCTGAGGAAACCCAGACCTAATACTTAAAGATTCAACAGAGCCATGATGACTAACCAAACAAATTTCCCTTGGTAGTTTCACTAATGGCAGGGTGATGAAGGTAATGCAGGCCATGAACCTACCCATGAGCAGGAACCTCTCCTAGCAGTATGTAATCTTTAGAGCAGAAGGTTCTGCAAAGCAAGTTATAGAGTGCATGTAAACCCAGATGCATGCACACATGCAAAAACATCGAATATATGGCATTTCAGTCTTTAATAAGGGATGTCCATAACATTGAGTTCTGCAATGGTGTTGTCTGAAATCAAAATTGTTGAGACTGGATTCAAAGGCAAATATCCAAAGAAAGGATACTTTCTTACTTACTTAAAGGTTACTTTAGGAAAGTCCAAGGGCATATTTGCACCCAGTGATTTTTTTTTAACCTGTCTTTGAATGACTGGGTTTTGTACCATAAAACAGACTGCCTTTGGTTGGTTCAAAAGTACTTTGCTATGTAGTAATAAAGGGGTTGTCATCGTTGGAAAATGGAAACCCCAAAGTTATCACGGGCACATGGAGACGGCTGCACCGGATACTGTGCATAATTATGAAGTACTATTATATATAATAATGAAGCAGCTAGAAAGTATAGAGCCCAACAGCACTGGATGCAATTTGTATATTTTCTTTTTCCAATCATGAGACAAAAAGCAAAACAAACACTCATTCTGAGGGGAGAAGGTCTAATTTGTTTTTAAAATCATGTCTTAATTTGCTACCTTTGCAAGGCTTTAGATTTTCAAACTGATTAGGAATTGAGCCAAAAGAGCTGTACAGGCATGGGAAAGTGCCAGAGTACTTTGACCTGCCATAAAATCTCCTGAAAATATGGTGAAGTAAGTATATGGCAAATTTAAATGTGTACTTTGGGACATTTACCACTATAAAGTTTCTTTGTTCAGTCCCACATTGGACATTCAGATTGCAATTACTGTTACTCATCTTAACAGTTCCTCATTTCCTCATCATTTCTTTTTAAAGTAATATTAATGACAGCAAATGGTGGTATGGGCATATAAAAAAACAAAAGACAGCAAAGTTCTTATGACTACTCTCTGCAAGTGGCAGACGAAATAGTCAGTTCAAAAGTTCTAAATAAACGGATATCAAGAAACTGTCAACTTTTAAAAATAGCATAATGTTTTCTCAGTGGTAATATTAAGAGCCCTTCATGTGGATGACATAGGGCCTCCTCATTTTCAGTTTTCATTTCCTTCTGGAGGGAAGCCGGAATCCCTTTTACATGGGGAGATATAAGTGGAAATGTACGAGTTCTTCAGACATTCAAAACTACAGCAGGCAGGATGGAGTAAGGAACCCACAAGCAGTGTAAAAGGAATGTGACAGTCTTACAGGCAATGCATCTTGCATCAGCAGCTCTTTGCCTAAGAAGGGAGTCTTCTACTTGGAACAGAAGGTATTTACTCTGGAACTCTTGAAAATTCTGGAGATAGTCATCAACTAAAGTCTAATAAACTAATCTAAACCTGTGTGTAAGACTCTGTTTTGCCTCCCCAAGCCCATCCATGGCCCAATCCCATCACAATTCTATACCCCAGATAGAATGATTGGATGAAAATGAAGTACTGTGGAATTATAAAGACCCTTAACTAATTCTTTCTCTATGCACAGGAACGTTTGCAATGCTCCATGGAAACAAAAAAAAAAAAGTATCCCACCACTTTTCTGTTTCAAAGGACTCAAATTCATTCCAACACATTTTATTCATTATATTGACTTTGGTACTTTGAAAACTGCTCCGTGAACAGACTCCAAACCTCATGCAAGCTTTTACCAAGGAAACCAGTGGAATTCTTTTCTAGGCATTACCATAGCAACTTTTCCACACAAGCACCTCCATCACTGTTCTCACTCGTATAGCTCTGTTCTGTGTGCAGAGTTTCACATAGCTTTCAGCAGAGGGAGCAAGGTTCATAGCTTTACTGATTAAATAACTTTTTATCACTAAGTTGTACAGTTCCCACATTGCATCCCAGTTGGCACCTGCATTTGCCGAAAGTAATTTAAACCTGGGAAAACAACAGGAGCCAAGAAAAGAGAAATGGCTGAACTGAACTCTGGGGTGATCCATCTGGGAAAAATGACAACCTAACACTAGTATTAAGTAAAATATTATGTGTGATATTTGGAGCTGGTTGTGGCTTATTTAACTAATGCAACCCTATCTTCCATTCTGGGTTTTTAACAAGTCAAGTTAAATAACATAATTATGAATATGTTATTTTATATCTCTCCATATATGCATTAGTATCTGTAATGACCTGAGCTCAAAATTAAAATAGCTTATTTTGAACCTATTCCACATTCAGTTACAGTTTAAAAGAATACATGATGATGCAAGCTGCATACATGATGATCCATGCATACAATCTGTTTAATCTTTAACCTGCAAAATCACACAAGGAAACCCTTTGAACAAGGAGTTAACAACATGCACAAGTCAGGAGCATGATCCTGGCCCATAATCATAAATACAGTTATATTTAGGATGCACAGACAAACTTAATTCCACTGAGAAACGTTCTGCTCTACCAATTCCAGAACATATTCCAAAAAATGTATATGGCATGCACAGTGAGGCCTATTACAGCTTGCTTGCTTGCTTTGTACACACGTGACGACCTCCAAAATGGTATAATGGC